GAGTTTCCTTTATGGGGGTGCCTACATATGTACATACACATTTGTATCTATGTAACTACATATGTACATACATATGTAAGTACATATACATTTGTATTATATATTCATTTGTATTATATATTCATATACACACCTTGGGAAAATATTCGCTTATTTTTTTCAATCAGATAGTGCTGTTTTTGAAAGCATATCTAGACCCTGCCTATCCCAAACGTATTTCCCAGACGAGTTTCGTATTTCATAGTGTGCCAATCAAAAATATTTAAAAAACAACAGCAAATTCATACAGGTTGTGTCGTTTTGTTTCGGAAATTTCGATTATCATTGGTCAACAAATTTTCATATTTTTATTTAATCAAACATTGCTACTCGTTGCAACACAAACAACAACAACAAAAATAAGAAAGAAATTTCGAAATTACTGCGTTTTGAAATTTTCTAATATCGCGACAAAATGGAAATATCACTGGAATATTTACTGGAACAGATTCTGCTTGAGGATCCCGACTTTTTAAGCCGAGCAACACATCTGATGCATTGGTTGAATGAGCCAATCTCAATCTACGACTTTGAATATAAATATATGAATGCATTTCACACATCCATCTCTCCGCTGGCTGTCTGCGGCACCAACTCAATAAAGGCAAGCGTCCTATCAACACTGGACAACTTTATGATAGAGTCCAAGGTTTCGGAGCACCCAATATTGGGTAAAACATCAGTATTATATGTGAAAATTAAGGACTAAGGATAGAAAATAAAAAACGAATCCACGGGATTTCCGTGGATAATTATCACTTTCTTCTGTCCGTATATTGATCGTGGATGGGGTGCACGCCAGTCCAAAAATGTTGGAATGGCTCTAGGCCAGGTGAAATTTAAATTCACTGAAATCACTGCACGGCGTTCGTTTTAAATTTTTTTCACACACGTGGTTTGTCGAAAATTGGCTCACTATAGAACGGGTCACGAACCGATCCGAATTGTGGATATACGAAAAGAAGAATTTTTCTGGGGATCGAGCCGTTTAAATGCGATAGGAAGAGCTAAACTATGTTCTAAAAAGCTTCTTTTGGCAACTGTCATTTAACGAAAGCTTCGCCCACTCAGCTGGTTTGAAAGCTAAGCTTTGCTTTGCCTGAAATTATGCAGCGTGATTCTGCCAGCATAATTTATCCAATTTTATCGCATGCGATAATATCATTCACTGAGCTTAATAATTCAGCTGCAACTACCAGCGCCACTACAATTTGCACCTGGACGGCTGGTTGCGCGGTCGGAATGACAGTTGGGGGCTTCAGCTAAAGCTTGAGTTCAGCTAAACTTTGCTCGTACACCGCGTAGCAGTCATCGTACATATCTTGGACCTCAACTTGACCATCTGGATCCTCTGTTGCTAGAAGGGCAGAACAGGCTCGATACTCCGATTCGACCTCCAACCACATGCCTCGGATCTGTTCCCGGCGGACTTGAGAAAGAGAGATGGTTGGGGTGCGGGCATCAGGAGCATTAAGTTTCAGGTCAAAGTGAGTGAGCCGGCCTGTAGCCAAAGCAAACCTAGACCGTGCCAAGCTGGCGGCAGATTGGGCCATTGTTCTTGGAACCGTGCACGTGGATGGTGAGGGACACAACAGGGTGTCGAATATGGACTGGCAAACCTTGGAAGTGGTCGGACCTCGCGAGCGTGAGGGCGAACGAGAAGAAGTGGGTGTAGTAACTGCTGCGGAAGAGCTGGGCGGCGTTGCGTCACTCTGCGAGCTTACACGCTTTAGTTTTCTGCTGACTTTCTTTCCACCAGAAGGCATACTCAGCTGATGGATCTCTTATGGGTAGAGCTCGCAATTCCTGTGGTACACGGAGGGCAGAGTGCACAGGCGGAAGTTGAAATCGGAATGATACTCGTCGCACACGTAGGTCAGAGGAATTTAAATATTATAATATTTATTTGCGCACTCGTTGGATGATTTTGTGGTCAGAAGGAAATTTATTAATTACCAAAAATAGAATTTAAAGGACAATTTTCAGCTTGATTTGTAGCTTTTTTGTTGTTAATTAATGCCACAAAATAAAGTCTTAAAAAATAAATTAACAAAACAAAACAAATAAAATCAAATTAAATTCCCAATTCCCAATTTTAACGGAACGTAAAAAACATGTTATAAAACTTTATCTTTGGCTTGATATTCGTCTAAATAAATCAGATGATCAGATCATATATTTCTCTTTTTTAATCATAAAACTCATTAGATATCTGTAGCAGTAGATGCCGACCAAAATATATTCCTTGTATGGGTGCGGGGGTTTGATCTATTCATTCAGCTCTACAACCAAATTGTTTTCTCAATATACTCTACTTATATACATAATACTTCTATCCAATGGAAACACTTTCATCGAAAGAAACCTCTTTTTACCCATTGAATACAAAAACTCTCAAAGGAGTTCGGGCTTTATCTTATCACAAACTGTGCGTAAATTGAATGTTGCCAAAGCCGGAGCAGCCCATCGACAACCGCTCGATAGGGCGTCATAAACAAAACCCAGCCAAAATCAGAGCAAAATTCTCATTTAATTTCGATGGCACCAACCTATTGTACCCACATACCTGCAAACATATGTATGTACATAGATTACCCACCAAAGAACCAATCGCCAGTGTTAGCAGCCTTCACGTAGATCCCCGAATACTCAGGTGTTTCGCCCTAAACAGGCGTCAGGGTACACCCGCTGCGAGCCAGGTGAAAGGGAAAGGTGGAAACATTTCAACGAGTTTAGCAATCCCACAGTGATGCCGTGACTAATCGTTTATGGATGAGTAAGATTGGGTTTTTGCCAGACCAGCCTAGCCCAGAACAATACTAGATATGGCCCGTTTGCGATCGGCTGGCGGCGATTAAAGTTATACCATTAAAGCGAAGAACATTCAAAATAATATTGTTCTATAAAGTCTCATAGATTGCACCATCTGGTGGCCTACACAGCTCCGAGCTGGCACTTTTCAATTGCCACACTGGAGCCTTGCTAGGGCATGCCTGATGGACTGACCATAGACTACAGCGAATGCAATTGATGTGCTACATGTACATATTTGCATACACATTTAGTACAAGCTTTACTTCTGTTTAAGGTACATAGATTAAAATATTAATCTTGATTTTGTTTAATCCTTTGCTACAACAGGTTTCGGGTCTTTTCCATCTCCATGTCTTCCCACGGAAGCTAATACTGAATGCAATGCAGTGGGTGCGGCATTCACGCCCACGGTTCCTTCACGGTTTCCTTCTGCCACTGCAGTAGGAACTTCAATAACTGCGGGGGATCCATTCTCGTGCGATTTCCTTGTACTTTTTGAGCAGAATCTTTAATTTTTGAAAATTATGCAAAAAGCGTCTCCTGCTATAATTTTGCTGCAGCCACTGGAGGAGCTTTAGCGGGATCTACGCGTTTCTTTTTTATATTTTGTGCTTGTTGTAAGGAGGTTCATTTCCGTTTTGTGTTTGTTGGTGCTCCTGCATTAATCACTGGAAACCTTCTGCTATATCCTCCTGAAAATCTCCAAGAATCTTAATCTTAAAAAAGCACACGGGTCTTTGCTCCCGCTCTAAGTTTTGAAATCAATCTATGGCGCCAACAATATTTGCTCAATATTTGGCCAAACATCGACTGTTGCTGCCGACCATCGACACTATTGCGCGGAAAAATTGAACATTCAAATTTTATATTGCATAAATGCAATTTTTTTTTGAAATGGTTTCGAATAAGGTTTATGGTACAATTATATAAACTTTATATGCATGAAAAATTCATTTTTATTTTTGCTGTGCAGCTTAAAATTTTGTCGATAGTATCGACGAGCAGATGATTCTTTTTTTTTTTGATTTCAACGCCTGTTGGCGTTAGTGGTTGGTCTGTTGTAGCAGCGACCAAAAACGATGTATCGATATGTGCGAGACACTATCGATTTTACTGTCACTTTCTAGTATTCATAGAGATGAGTAATTGGCGGCGTGATCGAATTTGTATTTGTATTTTTCTCATAGAGAGTAATTTGCCAAAAAGAAAACTTCCAAGCCAAGAAACTACGTTGATATGTTATATACACAGTTACATTCGATGTGTGTTATAATCCGCCTTTTTGCCGCCCTGGTATATCGCTCCCAGCTAGCTCTCGGGTAAGTCAGGGGTGTTTTCGACCCGATACCCAGGGGACGGATTTAACAAAAATTATATATTGAAACATACAAAAAAAACACAAATCAAACATTCTTCTGGTCTCGTCTTCGTCGGCACTCTCTTTAGCGGGGGCAGCCGGTATTCTTACCCTTAGCGAGGCCCTCCCTTCCATGAGCGTTTTCGAAATCTGCGCTCCCATTTTTTTTTAATCTTGGTTTCGCCCTCTTCCCCGCTCTCGTCTCACCCAACTACAGGTATCTACTCACTCATTTTTTTTTTTCAATGCATAGTTTATATTATTTCATTAATCCTGCCTAATATTAAACATTAATTCCTTCTTTTTTTAATTTGAATTTATAAACAACAGAAAAAACTAAAAATACTGACAAACCAAAAATACTAGTAAAAGAAAATACGAAATCTATTCCGCCCCAGTTGGCAGCCCCATTTCATCGACAACAAATTAACATGGATCAGCTGAAAATTAATGTAAATAAACGATCTTAAACTAAAAAGAGCTCTTGTTAGTGCAATAAATAAATAGGGGGGGGGTGTGTCGTTAGGGGGAGGGAATAGTCTCCGTTTACAATTTTTTTCTTTTTTTTTTTAACGAAAATCTAATTTATTCTATTGCTGTTTTTATTTATTTTTTCTCCTTTTTTGTTTTGTCTTTTTTCTTGTTTTGTGTAACTACTTGTGTATTTGGAAAAACGTGGATATGATATATGTGTTAGCCTTGCCACCTTGCTCCCTCCTTGCAACCCTGTTACAGCCTCCCAGGATCCACAACAGAGGCCGCTGTCTCCTCTCCTTCTCCAGCCCTGTCGGCAAACGGCTCCTTCAAAAAGCCGTCCATAACACCACACTCCCGTTTAAAGGTCCTGCCGTCGAAACGGGAGTGCAAAACCAAGGCGGCTTCTGGATTCCATACGCCCAAACGTAGGCCATCGCCCAAACCCTGAGATCGCGAGGCTCATGCTCTACCGACTGAGATGACAGGGCTACTGTTTGAGATCCTTCGCATGGAACACTCCTAGCCGTGCCCCTTGTAGCGTCTCCAGTTCGTACAAGCTGTTTCGATGCTCCGGACCACTCTGCACTTATTATACTTCGGGCTAACTTGGCATTTATGTTATTTTTGAGGCTGCTCAACATGAAATTCCGCATGTACACTTCCTGACCAGGTGAGTATCGAATATCTCTTGCCCTCCGATCATATTGTTTCTTCGATCTCCCGTAGGCCTCATGCGAGTTCCTGCGGACCTCATCACGGATGATCTCCTGCTAGTCATTCCTTGCCACAAGTGATACTTGCGCATCGTTCAACGCTCCAAGTCTCCGCGCCAATTTATAGTCCCGACCGCTGGTGAACATATGCTGTCCGAACAGTACGAAGTACGGTGACGTCCCGATACTCGTATGTATGGCGCTCCTCGCCGCACACTGTATCTCCGGCAGCTTCTCGTCCCAGCGCGTGTGGTCTTCGCGGACATACGTGCGGATTGCTGCGAGGACAGTTTGATTCACGCGTTCTGCCGCGTTCGCCTGTGGTGCGTAATTCCCAGATCTCATGTGAGCTATACTTCTTTTGGTCAAGAAATGTGCAAATTCGGCTGATACAAACTGCTTTCCGTTGTCCGTGTGTACCATTTCAGGAACGCCAAACTGTGCGAAGACCTCTTCATGCAGGAATTGGATTACGGCCGCCGATGTGGCTTTGGGCAAGGCCTTCAGCCAAACAAATCGAGACATGTGATCAAGGACTATCAAGATTACTACATTCCCCCTTCGGGTTCTAGGATATGGACCCAGAAAGTCGAGGTATATCTTCTGCATCGGCCTTTCGGTTACGGTCTCGGCACCCATCATTGGACGACTAACTTGTGTCGAATGTTTCGTCTCTTTCAGGTATCGCAATCCGCGACATATGCATTCACCTGTACCGTCATACGGGGCCAATAGTACCATTGCCGCAGTCGCCCCAGTGTTCTCGCAACTCTTCCGTGCATTGCCACATCGCTGTCGTGTGCTTGCTGGATCAACGATCTTGTCAGCGTCTCAGGGATCATAGCTTCCACTGGAACTCCTCCAATTCCGGTCGGGCAAATTGTGTACGCCTAAACAGCAATCCATCCTCCACCTTCAGGTCTGGAAACATTTCTTCATCGATCTTAACCGCCTCTATCCTTTTCAGGTAATCCTCGTCCTCGAAGGCTGTAGTCTCGAACTCTAGGAAGTCGATTGCTTCTAAGTCAAACGGACGAGACAGCATGTCGGCGACGATGTTGTCCTTTCCCTTCCGATGCTCTATCTCGAAGTTGTTTGTCTGCAGAGCTAGAGACCATCTCGCTAGCCTACCATCCAGCGCTTTGAAACGCATCAGCCACCGCAGGCTCGCGTGATCAGTGATCACAGTGAATGGCATCAGCTCTATGTACGCCCGGAACTTCTCTATAGCTCTCACTGCCGCTAGACACTCCTTCTCTGGCACACTATAGTTTAGTTGAGCGCCTCTCAGCTTCGCCGAAAAGAAAGCAATGGGGTGTTCGGCTTCCTCCTCATCCTTCTGGAAAAGAACCGCACCGATTCCCACATGACTTGCATCACACTGGATGAAGAAGTGCTTCTTAAAGTCCGGATGATGCAATACCGGTGCGCTGGTAAGTGCCTTTTTTAGCTCCTCAAAAGAGTCTCGTGCGTCCGTTGTTAGCTGAAATTGTCCTTTTCCTTTCAGGCAGTCTGTGAAAGGGGCTGAAAGTGCCGAAAAATTCCGGATGAATCGCCGATACCAGCCCGCCGTACCCAAAAATCTCCTGACTTGCCTCACGTTCTTCGGCATCGGTATCTGTACGATCGCTTGCACCTTCTCTGGGTCGGTCCTCAGTGCGCCATCGCCCACGATGTACCCCAGGTATTTCAGGTACTTGTAGCAGAACTTTGACTTTTTCTTCCCTATTGTCAGGTTTGCCGTCTCCAGGCACTTTGCGACTTCCTCTAGTAGCTTCACGTGCTCCTCAAACGTTCGGGAAATCACCAACAGGTCGTCCAAATACACAAACACGTGGCTTCGGAGTCGCTGCGGGATAACCCGGTCCATCAACCGACACAACCGCTGGGCTGCGTTACACAAACCGAACGGCATTGACTTAAACTGATAGAGTGGTCTCCCTGGAACCGTAAACGCCGTATACGTCCTACTCTCCGGCTCCAGCTCTATCTGCCAAAACGCATGCTTCAGGTCGATGCTACTCCACACGACTCAGGATCGACTCGATACTCTGAAGCGGGTACGCATCTTTGACGGTCAGAGTATTCAGCTTCCGTGCATCCAAACACAACCGGTTCTTCCCAGGCTTACGGGCCAGAGTCACCCGATTGCTCCACGGGCTTTCGCTCAGCTCGATTACTCCAAGACGCAACATTTCGTCGACTTCCGCAAACAACAGCTCCTGTACCGCCGGAGATACTGGGTAAAAGCGTTCCTTCACAGGCACGGCTCCCTCCACCAGACGTATCTCGTGTTTTACCATCGTCGTCCTTCCCAATCCGTGCTTGTCAAAACACCGAAATTTGTCCTTCACCTGTTCCATGCGTACTTGCTGCGACTGGGTTAAGTCATGAGGTTCCGTCGGTCTACTTCTCGTCAGCAGTTCTGCTTCGATCTCTTCTAATTCCTCTTCTCGTTTCAGGCCTACTATCTGCGGAGCCAATCCAAACTTTCGCCAGAAATCGACCCCAAGATACAGTGATTGCTTCAATGACGGACACAAGAATAATTCCATCGGGTGCTTCTGGCCTTTGTATGCCATCACTACCATCACACGGCCTAGGATCTGATGAGGTGTACCGCCCGCAGTTTGTACCGATATTGTTTTCGCGTCTTTTTACTTAAGCTTCAATTCCTCAATGATCTCCAATCCCCCTCTTCCCAGCAGGCTCACTGATGCCCCCGTATCGAGCAGTCCCATCAGCGTCTTCGGGCCCAGACTCACGTGCGCAAACGGCCTGTCGTCCCGGTTTACTGCAGAACGGATTGCTGTGCATATGCCACGTCGTTTCCTCTGGCGTATCCGGAATCGGTCCCGAGCTCCTGTGCTCTGGCCGACCTCGTTAGGCTTATTTCCGCCACCTGGTCCCCCAGTATTCTTTTCCGGGTCTGCTCGTATCGATGCTGCCTTTCTGCTAACGGCTTACGCTCCGACCATCTTTCCCCAGGTAAGACTGATTGGTTTACCTTATATATTGTTATTATATATATCTTTTTCCTTATTTCTAGGTACGTTATCTACATGTAATTTTATATTATCATTGGAGGACAGAATTATTGGTTGTTCCCTCGCGGTGACGTGGAACGCGACTCCTCCAATTGTGTCGTGCTCCTTTTCCCGTTTCCCGGCCGGCATTTAGTACACCTTGGGGAGGATTACCCCTGCTGCCCCACACTTGTAGCAGAATATATTCCGCACCGCCGCCTCAAACTCAAAGTATGTGTGCCCCGGCTGAGCACAATTCCAGCACTTCAGCTGTGTGCGATCGCCCCCAGACTCCTTCGCTCTATATACGGCCTCTAGTGTCTCTGTCTGCTCCTCCAGCTCGTGGTTCGCCGCTTCTACTTCGTGCACTTTGGGGTCTTCCCATCGCCCGCTACTCCCGTGATCTGTGCCGCTCCTTGTCCATCGGGTTGACAGCAGCTTCTCGGCATCTGCACACTCTTCTCGTAGTTTCTGCAGATTTGGGATTTGCATAGGATAAATCACCCTCGAGACTGCATCCCTAATATTGACCTTGACGATCTTTATAAGATCATAATCCGAGAATGGATTTAGCAATCTCGACCGCAACACTAACATCTCCTGAATGTACTGGTCTGCCGATTCCCCATGGCGTTGCCGGCGTTCCCTCAACTCCTGCTCTCGCTCGAACTCTGTCCGTCGCACTTGGAACTGCTGTTGGAGACCATGCCTAAGGTTCGGCCAGTCCGGCTCTCCTACTGTCCGAACGTGCATCCAATACCAGTCCCTAGCCTGACCCGTGACTAGCGTATGAAACGCTTTCAGCACCTCTGACCACGAGACTTGGAACACCGTCTGCAAATGTTCCACTCGGAAGATGAACTCCGCCACCGGCATCCCCTTCGGATCGCCATCGAAGCTCAGACCCCATTTCCGGATCTGCACCTGCTCCTGCCTGACTTCCCCGTAACTTGGACGACTCCTGTTCAGGGTTTGCATTGGCCCCTGAGCCTCTGGGGTTGAACAACCAGTCCTCCACGGGTCTCGGTTCGCCGTTAGTCCTCTGCTCGGCCTCCAATGCCCGATTATCCACAAACAGGTGCGTGGGTGGAGCTTGCTGGTTCGAGGGCATTTCCTGCGGACCTCCTCCCAGACTGGTGTTTCGTGAGCCCACATTTCTTCTATCCATATCACTCGGCGTTCGCTCCACCTTCAGCGAGTCGACCACCGCATGTATTTGTTTCATAAATTCAAGCATGTTGGCCCAACGATGCGCGGTATGTTTCCTGAGCCTGAGATATCGCTACATTTACAGCTGTTCTCAACTCGCTGGGCAGCTCGCGGTCCGCCCGAATTGCGTGGCCTCCTACTGCCCCGGCCTCTCGGTCATCCAGTCCCATAAGCATCGTGTCTTCGTGTCCTGGCACCTGCGACGCTCGTTCCGGCCCACTGCCAACTTTCCCGTCCTGGGACCTAGTCGTCGTCATTCTGTATGGCTGGTACCTCCTCTGCACTTCAGGGCATCGCCTAGTTTTTCCCGACCCTTTAAACACGTCAGGATCACTCATCAACCAATATAACCTTCCTTTACCTACTACCTAATCACCTATGCATCAATATATGTAAACTAACTCTACGTATATGTGTTGGTGCTAAATCAATTATCCTACAAAAACCTAAATACATTAATGGACGACGAGAGAATAAATAAATAAATAGTATAATAAATAAATACCCGATCACTCACACAAATGTTTAAATAAATATATAGTTTATACTCTAAATAAATAAATAAACACCTACGTAAATAATTAATCGCATAAATAAATAATACCATAAATATTAATTCCAATAAATAAATAACTCCTCTCTCAAAAAAAATAAATCCTTCTTCGCTGACCTACCTATTCCTTCTTCTAAAATTGCTACTTTACAATGATAGCGAGGATCTTCAGTCCTCGAGAATGACTTTTATAATACAGATTCCAATCCAAAACACTTACGTCTACAAAACAAAAATCTTTCTTTCAGGCTAAACTAACTGGGCGAGACGAGAGACAACTGCAACTCACGGTTACAGCAGGTGAGCGAACCAATGCGTTTCCATCGCTATTATCTTTCGCTTCTTTTTCTCTTCGGAGTGCCAACTCCTCTTGCTGTTTCTTTCCAGACCACAGCGGTTCCCCCGAGTCGGACAACGATGCTGATGCCCTCTCGGCATCGCACGGACCACAACCCGACAGACCCACGATGTCTTCCTTTTTTTTCTGATCAGCTCCGTGGATTCCTCGAGTCGAACAACGCTGCAAACGCCCCTAAGGCACTGCACGGACCACAACTCGCGAAGTCCACTCGCCGTTTCCTCTCTCCTACTTCCCTCAACGGCTACTATGGCTCGGGTGTATTCCCGGCTCACGGACCAGCTGAGTTTCTCTAATCCAAGGCTCGATCTCAAACTGGGTGTCTTAAACCCCTCGTTCCAAAACCGATACCTTCCGTTTTAAAATTGGGCGCCATTTGTTATAATCCGCCTTTTTGCCGCCCTGGTGTTGCACTCCCGTTTCGACGGCAGGACCTTTAAACGGGAGTGTGGTGTTATGGACGGCTTTTTGAAGGAGCCGTTTGCCGACAGGGCTGGAGAAGGAGAGGAGACAGCGGCCTCTGTTGTGGATCCTGGGAGGCTGTAACAGGGTTGCAAGGAGGGAGCAAGGTGGCAAGGCTAACACATATATCATATCCACGTTTTTCCAAATACACAAGTAGTTACACAAAACAAGAAAAAAGACAAAACAAAAAAGGAGAAAAAATAAATAAAAACAGCAATAGAATAAATTAGATTTTCGTTAAAAAAAAAAAAGAAAAAAATTGTAAACGGAGACTATTCCCTCCCCCTAACGACACACCCCTCCCCTATTTATTTATTGCACTAACAAGAGCTCTTTTTAGTTTAAGATCGTTTATTTACATTAATTTTCAGCTGATCCATGTTAATTTGTTGTCGATGAAATGGGGCTGCCAACTGGGGCGGAATAGATTTCGTATTTTCTTTTACTAGTATTTTTGGTTTGTCAGTATTTTTAGTTTTTTCTGTTGTTTATAAGTTCAAATTAAAAAAAGAAGGAATTAATGTTTAATATTAGGCAGGATTAATGAAATAATATAAACTATGCATTGAAAAAAAAAATGAGTGAGTAGATACCTGTAGTTGGGTGAGACGAGAGCGGGGAAGAGGGCGAAACCAAGATTAAAAAAAAATGGGAGCGCAGATTTCGAAAACGCTCATGGAAGGGAGGGCCTCGCTAAGGGTAAGAATACCGGCTGCCCCCGCTAAAGAGAGTGCCGACGAAGACGAGACCAGAAGAATGTTTGATTTGTGTTTTTTTTGTATGTTTCAATATATAATTTTTGTTAAATCCGTCCCCTAGGTATCGGGTCGAAAACACCCCTGACTTACCCGAGAGCTAGCTGGGAGCGATATACCAGGGCGGCAAAAAGGCGGATTATAACACACATCGAATGTAACTGTGTATATAACATATCAACGTAGTTTCTTGGCTTGGAAGTTTTCTTTTTGGCAAATTACTCTCTATGAGAAAAATACAAATACAAATTCGATCACGCCGCCAATTACTCATCTCTATGAATACTAGAAAGTGACAGTAAAATCGATAGTGTCTCGCACATATCGATACATCGTTTTTGGTCGCTGCTACAACAGACCAACCACTAACGCCAACAGGCGTTGAAATCAAAAAAAAAAGAATCATCTGCTCGTCGATACTATCGACAAAATTTTAAGCTGCACAGCAAAAATAAAAATGAATTTTTCATGCATATAAAGTTTATATAATTGTACCATAAACCTTATTCGAAACCATTTCAAAAAAAAAATTGCATTTATGCAATATAAAATTTGAATGTTCAATTTTTCCGCGCAATAGTGTCGATGGTCGGCAGCAACAGTCGATGTTTGGCCAAATATTGAGCAAATATTGTTGGCGCCATAGATTGATTTCAAAACTTAGAGCGGGAGCAAAGACCCGTGTGCTTTTTTAAGATTAAGATTCTTGGAGATTTTCAGGAGGATATAGCAGAAGGTTTCCAGTGATTAATGCAGGAGCACCAACAAACACAAAACGGAAATGAACCTCCTTACAACAAGCACAAAATATAAAAAAGAAACGCGTAGATCCCGCTAAAGCTCCTCCAGTGGCTGCAGCAAAATTATAGCAGGAGACGCTTTTTGCATAATTTTCAAAAATTAAAGATTCTGCTCAAAAAGTACAAGGAAATCGCACGAGAATGGATCCCCCGCAGTTATTGAAGTTCCTACTGCAGTGGCAGAAGGAAACCGTGAAGGAACCGTGGGCGTGAATGCCGCACCCACTGCATTGCATTCAGTATTAGCTTCCGTGGGAAGACATGGAGATGGAAAAGACCCGAAACCTGTTGTAGCAAAGGATTAAACAAAATCAAGATTAATATTTTAATCTATGTACCTTAAACAGAAGTAAAGCTTGTACTAAATGTGTATGCAAATATGTACATGTAGCACATCAATTGCATTCGCTGTAGTCTATGGTCAGTCCATCAGGCATGCCCTAGCAAGGCTCCAGTGTGGCAATTGAAAAGTGCCAGCTCGGAGCTGTGTAGGCCACCAGATGGTGCAATCTATGAGACTTTATAGAACAATATTATTTTGAATGTTCTTCGCTTTAATGGTATAACTTTAATCGCCGCCAGCCGATCGCAAACGGGCCATATCTAGTATTGTTCTGGGCTAGGCTGGTCTGGCAAAAACCCAATCTTACTCATCCATAAACGATTAGTCACGGCATCACTGTGGGATTGCTAAACTCGTTGAAATGTTTCCACCTTTCCCTTTCACCTGGCTCGCAGCGGGTGTACCCTGACGCCTGTTTAGGGCGAAACACCTGAGTATTCGGGGATCTACGTGAAGGCTGCTAACACTGGCGATTGGTTCTTTGGTGGGTAATCTATGTACATACATATGTTTGCAGGTATGTGGGTACAATAGGTTGGTGCCATCGAAATTAAATGAGAATTTTGCTCTGATTTTGGCTGGGTTTTGTTTATGACGCCCTATCGAGCGGTTGTCGATGGGCTGCTCCGGCTTTGGCAACATTCAATTTACGCACAGTTTGTGATAAGATAAAGCCCGAACTCCTTTGAGAGTTTTTGTATTCAATGGGTAAAAAGAGGTTTCTTTCGATGAAAGTGTTTCCATTGGATAGAAGTATTATGTATATAAGTAGAGTATATTGAGAAAACAATTTGGTTGTAGAGCTGAATGAATAGATCAAACCCCCGCACCCATACAAGGAATATATTTTGGTCGGCATCTACCTGCTACAGATATCTAATGAGTTTTATGATTAAAAAAGAGAAATATATGATCTGATCATCTGATTTATTTAGACGAATATCAAGCCAAAGATAAAGTTTTATAACATGTTTTTTACGTTCCGTTAAAATTGGGAATTGGGAATTTAATTTGATTTTATTTGTTTTGTTTTGTTAATTTATTTTTTAAGACTTTATTTTGTGGCATTAATTAACAACAAAAAAGCTACAAATCAAGCTGAAAATTGTCCTTTAAATTCTATTTTTGGTAATTAATAAATTTCCTTCTGACCACAAAATCATCCAACGAGTGCGCAAATAAATATTATAATATTTAAATTCCTCTGACCTACGTGTGCGACGAGTATCATTCCGATTTCAACTTCCGCCTGTGCACTCTGCCCTCCGTGTACCACAGGAATTGCGAGCTCTACCCATAAGAGATCCATCAGCTGAGTATGCCTTCTGGTGGAAAGAAAGTCAGCAGAAAACTAAAGCGTGTAAGCTCGCAGAGTGACGCAACGCCGCCCAGCTCTTCCGCAGCAGTTACTACACCCACTTCTTCTCGTTCGCCCTCACGCTCGCGAGGTCCGACCACTTCCAAGGTTTGCCAGTCCATATTCGACACCCTGTTGTGTCCCTCACCATCCACGTGCACGGTTCCAAGAACAATGGCCCAATCTGCCGATATATTCTCGTATTCGTTTCCGGCTCTCAGTTTTTGGTTTTTGCAGGCACCATCTGTATGGTTTGATTGGTTTTGGCTGTCGGTATATATTTCACCGTTTTGGCTTGGGCAATTTGGATTTCGTTTTCAGTAACTGGGGAAACAAAAATTGAGGCAAGCACCATGTACACGCTCACACATACACACACACGCATGCCCACGATATATATATATATACATATATGAGTCTGACTGTTATTTTTGCTGTATTGGGGGGAGCAGTGTGGGAAGAAAAGAAGCAAGACACAAGACACAAGACTGTCCACCGTCCACTATATCACAAGTTCATGGCGAGCCAGGCGACGACGACGACCCAGAAGCGAAATGAAATGGCGACGCGACCCGGAACTCGACTCGAAGAAAAACTATCAGACGTCCGAAGGCAAACGCTGCCAGAGATCAACTATATTTCGGCGATCGATCTACTCCACCACTCAGTCGAGCCCGACTCCAAACCAAACTGGCGCAGCAGCAGCCGAAACTGCTCGTGAGCCGAGGGCAAAAGGGCAGCCGAAAAATAGAGAGAGAGAGGATGTAGGTTCACTCATACGGTCGGTCAGTGGGTCAGTCGGCGCTTAAAAGTATGCTACAATAAATGGCTATAGCATGTTCAACTGGCTGCGCCTACCTATCAGACTGATGTACCCCACTTACCCCCCAAATTGGACAGTGGACACTCGTCGCCTCCGTCTCTGTCAATAGAGCATCTGTTCTCTTACCCTCCCTGCCTCTGGTTTTTGCCTGTGTGAAATGGCAGCAACAATTCGCATCGTATTACAATACGAATAAACAAAGTGACATGACAGCAACCAGAAACATTTTTTCATTTGCATTTGTGAATTTTATGCGAGAGAGAGACTACAGCCCTACTTGTTAAGAAATATCCATTCGATTATTCTACCAATTAAGGATGTGAAAGCAAACTCGACCAATGCCTGTGACAGCACGGGAATAAAATTTCGCGAACAATATGTATGTATGGATAGTAATGGCTTTTTGAAAACGCTGAGCTCTAACGCAAATTCAAAGAAAAATGTGGGAAGAACAACAAAAACGAGACTCTAATTCTAAATATGAATTGGCTTTTTTAAACTGTCCAAGAGAGAGAGAAAGGGGAAAAAAAAAAACCGTCCAATTGTCTGTCCAAATGTCAGTCTGTCAGTCTATCACAGTGTGTGGGATATAAATTGGCGGGTCAAAATTCCATTTTATTGGCCTACCGTCATGTGTGCTGACTGTGTTTAATTCACAAGAGAGATCCAACAAAAAGAATATACAAAAACATACTAGTATTTGCGGGGCGCTCCAAGCGATAGTTAGTCAAAAGTGATCAAATTAATCGAAATGGCAAAAACTATTCCAACTATCGGGGAGGCTAAACAGAGTAGTGGCAATGTGTTAAAAAGTGTATTGGCGATATAAATAAATTACTAAAAGTAGCTGGCTGCCACCTGGTCAATAAATAAGAATAAATTAACTTGCAAGGGGGGTGGGGGATTTAAAAAATTTTATCGAGGGCTGGGCAAATTGTTTTGGCTATCGATAGTTCCATGGGGAGAAGGGTCAAGAAGGTGGGGATTTTAAAATATTTACAATTGGACCATGGAAAACATTTAAACAGCACAACAAACTAAAAACAAATTAAAATACAATATGATACAAATAAACTACAAGGACAAAAAGAGGATAGCAAGGAGAAGGAAAAAAGGTAAGAGATGAATAAAAAGGGGGGGATGTGCATGCCTACAATTGCATTTGTAATGGCCATTTGAAAATAAATTTCAATTGGACGACTGGCAAGAAGAAGAGTAACATTGCTTACATTCGACAATTGCAGTCTGTCCCGTACAATATGTAGGCATGGCAAGCATCCAGTAATGGCTTGTGGAAAACAATTTAAAAAGAAACACAGATACATGCAAAAATAAAAGAGAAAACAAATTACGTTTACTTACAATCAGACGAAACGGCAAGGTACGTACAATCATAAAATACATAAACACAACAGTTTTTCCTTATAATTAATCTGTTTTTCTTGTCTATTTTGTACTAACAGGAGGACGAGCAACAACAAAGCACCAGCAGGCATGAGCAGAGGCAATGCAGTAGTTGCATTGTCCCGTCAATACCGGCCAGCTCCGTCATCCTCCTGTACCACAGCCATGCTGCTGGATTATGGGCGTCTCAGTTGTGTAGTGGCATGTTGGATAGGAAACGCCGTCGTCAATGTATTAATGGCCTCCAGAAGTTAAAGAGTACAGCATGGTTGTGGTCCATCGAGCGGCAAT